CATCATTACAGTGACGTAAAGCTTGACAATTAGACGGGAACTTGGACCAAGACAAATTGTGTGAAGCTTTAAGCGATTTTTGACGATCAGTTTATGAATGTACTTTCATATAAATACAACTTTTCAATGAATATTATGCGTGATGGAAGAAAGTAGAATCGTGACATCTGTCTCCACTCTCATTGGATTACGGGTGAAACCGCGGCTTTCACAACTAAATTATTGTATCAGACGCGTAATGCAGTTATTACATACTTCAATTGAAATTGCAATACATTTTAGATTGTAAAGCCGGATTATACCGTAATTAGATAAATCCCCAATCCACTATTGTATGCGAACATGCTAGTTGTACCTGTATTGAATGAACAACCATTTAATATTTGACCACTTTATAATTAAAATATATTATATACAAACATTTAAAAGGCTGACAATGCACAAGCAACTCCTCCGTCATGTAAGCGTTCATGGGCGAAGGTAGCCGCTTTTCATCAGGTAGACCGTTTGCTTGTTTACTTTTCTAACAATAAGAAAACAAGAAATTTTATTGTAACAATAACCAGATTTAAAATATTTATTTAAAATCCTCTTGAATGTATGTATGAATTTGAGGAACGCTCGCAACATGACCGTTTATAAATAAGGGCTTGCCCTTATTCATATTTATTTATTATTCATTTATTCCAAAAACATGAAACATAAGATCACGCATGTATCTTTAAATTTTTTAGTTATACATATTTTGTTTTATTCCGCTCTAGCTTCTATTATTAAAATATATGCAACTGCCAACATTCAAAGATTGACTAGTATTATTATTACCAGAAGTTCTACAGTCTTAAATATTAACTATCAATCTTAAACTGTAATGACAGTCCACACAAGTGTTACTTCTAAACGAGGCATCTTTAAACAAATTAATAGACTGCTGATCGGAGCTTATTGTTAATCGTTCAGTTTGTTAGTATAATTCGCAATTTGAGTTAAAAAATTTGTTAATTTGCCTAAAAATGCCTCGTTTAAAAGTAAAACACATGTTGTAAAACATGTTTGTAGTGTTGTCAAATGCACATACAAATAAAAAAAATATTTCTTATCAAATAACCAGTTAATTACCATGTGGGGTGGCCACTTCCGTAAATGTCATAAAAGGCAACTAAGGAAACTGATCATTAAGGGATGAGCAGCAGCGTTCCTCCTCAAACATCACCAAAGCCTAACTGCAGTTCCCAACCCTTGCTTGTCAAGCGTGGCAACTACTGGCAACTTCGTCCAATATATTCTCTATTCAAGTCGTTCAAGTTCAAGAGTCTATATTCAACAGTAATTGGTAACGGCTGATATCATCATTAATTATATATGTTATACAAAATTATTGCCAACGTAGACTTATTATAGCATCCCTAGTTTTTGTATAAAATAACACAATATTAAATAGAGGTATTTTATAATCTTTTTTATCTGCGTTTCTATTCAAATTTTACCAATAAAACATCCCATAAAATATAATCAACCAAATTACCGTAAACGATAAAAGGCTCTACAAAAAAGTCACCTCAAGTGTTTATGAAAACGACAGTCATTCTCCATCAGGCATAATATAATTTTTTTACCTCCTTAACAATAAAATAAATTTCAAAAGGTTAATTACGAAATAATAAAGATTCAAAATGATGTCGCAGAAATATATACAAGATAACTTAAGAATACTGTGGGTAGAAAAAAATCTAAAATTATTATATACAGAAACATAGATTCCAACTGTCATAAGAAGGTCCTTTTTTACAATGTCGATACGAAACACTGTTCAATAAATTTTAATCACGTTTTACCATTTTACATCCGTGTAATCAATAATTACTAAATTTCTAAATAAACCACCGACAGTCACAAAGACAAAACTGGTTACAGAATTAAATTTGTAGTTGTGACTGTCTATGACTAATTTTATCTATTCTTACTTCCTTAATAATATTATAAATGTGAAAGTGTGTTTGTTCGTTACCTCTCGGAGCCTTAACGTTTTAACTAAACTAAATTTCATATAATTTGATATATATATACATATATATTAACATATGATTTGGGATGTAGAAGAAGATTTCTTTCTATATATAGACTACCACTACTACTACCATATAGCAGCTACGAAACTAAATTAAATATTTTTTATAATTCACAGTATAAATCTCAGAAGTAACAATTTTAACTTACGTTTAGCAACTATTACAATTTAGCTTATCTGTGGTAAGACTCGTGCGTAAAACCATTAAACTTTTCTAACGTCCACCAAAAAAAATATATTTCAAAAATATAACAGAAATACGATAGTAACTGTAATATTTAATATACATAAATTATCTCGAATTAGCATAACATGAAATATTAAATAATAATATACAATAATAAAAAAGGTATTTTTTTAATACATGTAGGTGGATTTTTTTAATACAACTTAGAATGACAAACAAGTTGTCGATCCACATGATGGTAAATAGTAACCGTCGCCTGTAGGCATGAGCAGTACCATGGACATAACAGAGTATTCTATTCCACCCATGATAACCTCACGCGTTGCCATTCCTGAGGATGCAGGTGTTATTCCTTTAAACCCTGTAAATTCACTGCCATATCCCACCCTTCAAACCGAAAACACAGCCATGAAAACACAACTGCTTCACGGTAGAAACACGAATGGGATAGAGGTGCCCAAACAAACGACGATTGGTGCATCTGCGTATGCTAATGACAAGGCACTAGCGAAAGTTGAAACAAATCAAATTATTTGGCCTACGGCAGCGAATTTACTAGGAATTAACCAAGATGGTTTCCAAGGGAATCCATCTGGAGGACGAACTTACCGGGCATATTACTAACAATGTCGATTAGCCACCTATTACTAATAATGCCTTTCCTCTATTAAATACATAGTAATAGTGATGTTGATGAATATAAGAAGATGAAATACCAAATTTAAAACCGTATTCAGAGAGACAAAATGTAACAAAACAGAAACCAAATCAACAATAAATACGAATACGAGTTTAGACTTACTTCGTATCTCTAGTTATCTACCTACACTTATATTTTATGTAATGACAGCCTCATTACACAACCGATCAAGTTCAAGGTAAAAATAATCTGTAGCGTTCAGCTAACTTAATTAAAATGGTATAAATATATAAACTCGAACAATTTACCCCAAAAAGAATAGTCAAAATATGAAAATACTTTATCAATTTCCCATACAAAAACAATCATATGACCGCGTGAATTCTATGCAAATATTAAAAAAATTTATTTCTATTTACATAATAACAACTTTATTATTTATTACAAAAGTTTTTTTTTAACAATAAGCTATTAACTATCTTTTGAGAATTGGTAAATGTACATGTTACGAATAAAATAAGTACTTAATTATATTTATATAATCACCCCTATTTTTTTTAAATACAACCCACGTTAATTACAGCAGTTGTAGCTTTTTATAGGTGAAAGAATTTTTAAAATGGAATTAGTGTTCTTTAAGTTTATCTATAAAAAATATAAAAATCAATTAACTTTCCTTAACTTAAATTATAAGAATAAAATCCTTATAAGGAAATTATTATATAAATAAATATATAACAACCTTCCTGGAAAGTGATATCCAGTATTTTTATACATATGTATAGGAATTACTTGAAATATCGTATAACAGGAACATCTTTTGGCACGGTATTTTTTGTGAGGATCAAAAAACCAACAGGTAATCCAAGATTAACACTTATACGTCCCACTAGAAAGCGCCACAAGCAAATGCAAGTTATTCGAATATATACATACATCAAAAGTATCTAGGGATCAAGTACAGTTCTAACTATTATTTTTATTCATTTATTTAACTCTTTATTGCAATATAAAAATAAAATATTACAATGACATTTTAGCAATATAATTAATATAATTGAAATAAATTATCCAATTAATATTTACCAAATTTAGTTTTTAAGTCTAACTGACTTCTGATTATTTTTTAGTTCCGAAGTAGAAATTGCAATAGATTTGTAAAAACGCTAATATAGACTATTATAAGAATCCTGATTGACAGTTGATTTCCTATTTTAAATTTATCAAAATTTAAAGAAAATTCTTTGTTCAAATAGTAAAAATTACTAAAAAGAATCAATAACCCAAAAAAAAAATAATAATCATCAATTGCGGTGATACTCTAAAATGTACTTGATTCCTATACATTTTTATTGTGTATATATATATATATAGATTTAAATATCTTTATCGATAGTTCCCTTTTATTATTTTTTATTAGCTAGCTTAGCTTGTGTTTCTTTAATAATAAAGAACAACAATTAAAACTCATTTAGAGAAATAAACTCATTTTAACTAAACATTATATATATGTTCAGTTAAAATGAGTTTATTTCTATATATCCAAACTAAATAATATTAGGTATATACATATAAATTGATAGGCATTAAAATTACATACATTGCAGTGAATTAAGAATATTAAATTTCATGCAGAAGAATATATCATACTCACCCAGGATCATAGTAAAGCTTTCAGTTATGCGTAATAACATATCAGAGAGTATATAATGTGTTTTTTTAAGCGACCAAGCACCCTGGAAAATAATCTTAACTACGCCAATATGGTTTAGATCACCTTGTTTTCGTAAAGGGTACAAAAATTATTGCACTACATTACACCGCTGTAACAAGGCAATAATGTCAAATTAATCATGATATAAAGTTGGCAATATCCATAAAACTCTTGATGCGAAAGGATACAACAGCTTTAGCAGTTAGTAATATCAGAAAAAGTGCAAGATCCTCTTCCCCACCGGATGTCGCGAGATCACTGATTATATGCATATTAGCTCAAATGCAGACAATTTTCTTCGCGAAGCGTCGCGCGGAAACGACCCGTCTACTCATCGCTAGTCAACATCGAAACGACATCGACACGGCGATTCGACTCATCCAACCAAACGAGAAACGAATAAACGTGGAACGTGGTCGTGTTTCCAAACGGAGCATTCGACCGCCAACTCTCGCGTATATTGCACGTATCTACTGAACGCTCCCGCCAGCGAAACTTTACTCGCACATTTCGATAAAACGTGAATGAAGTGCTGTTTTTGAACGTTTTTATTTAAATACTTTCTTTCGTCTGACAGTTTTGTTTTGTGTTGGTTATTTTTGTTTGTTTTGTGACTGCACATTGGAGGTGTTCCGATTATTTTCAATTCTGCCAACTGTTTACGGTAAGTGCGGGTTGAATTTTAATTTATTTATTTAGTGGCTCGGCCAGCTGATTTATGCGGACGAGAGGAGATCGCGCCATGAACTGCATTTTCTTGCACGAAGGTCGTCGTGCGTTTCGTTGCAATCTATTCGGTTTCTATGTCATTCATCTTTTATAGGGTCAGAGGTCTACTTATCGAGAGCATTGTTTGCCAGTTTATTTGCTAATTAATATTTAATCGATTTTCCAAGTGGCTCATTACAATTGATTCAATAGTTATACTAGTTATATTCAAAAAAGGAATCACGATTACTAGATGATATATACGATTATTTATGATCATTAATTTTAAATTATTTTGTTCAAGTAACACAACCACAAATTAATACCAGCCGATGTGATTAAGAGAACTGATAATTTATAAATTATTATTATGTCAATAATATAGCCTGAATAATAATTATGTGTAAATATTACCTTTTTTTTTTAATATTAAACTATACCATTTATTATACATTCAACAACACCTATTTAATGATCTCACAACACGGCATTCAATTTGCTAATTGATCAAACCTTTTACTGTATACCTACCTGCTATTATTATATACAATAACATACAAGGAAGGTGTAATAATGTCTACCTGAAAAATAGACAAACTAATTCACAAGGCTCGAATGCTCCGTGCGTTGAAGTCTTTTGTGAGTAAACATGTTATAAAAAAGAAAATTAACAATAATATTAAATACATTAATTCTTACAGCTGTATCATAGAAACTATTTATTTTATTAGTTAGTTACCTTTTATGGAACAGTGTGTAGAAATATTAAGTATTTTAACAAGTATCCGTCATGTTATATGTGACATTAGCATATTAACCCATATTTTAATTGCTAACACATTGCAGACTCTCTATTTTATAATTTTAATTGCCATATTTGATCTCAGTAATCTGAGATCGGCGACCTTATTAATGTATTTATACTCGTATAAGCATGATAAATAATTATCAAGGCGAGGATTGATCTACGTTTTCCATCAACCTTAAATTTCCCTATAATATTAACGGTCAATTCCAAAGATATAAATTATGTCGATTATTTTATATGACAAATGTAACTTTTATTTTCCTGTGATAACAGCACGTTTGTAAACAACAATGTCCGCAATGGATTATATTACATGATCATTAAATAAATATTATGACTAGTGTTATTATTACTGCATTGACCTCTATAATTAAATAGTAATGTTCGTACAGTTAAGCGAGAACAGTTACTGTACGTAGTCGAAAGGTTCATACACTATTTGCACTGATCTATTACCAGCAGTTTCCTCAATTTTAGTTGCACTACATTTAATATATTTCTATACATACATAAAGTCTTAAACACAGCTGATATTATAGTGACTATGTGTCTTAAACATAGATAAAGTCACGTCTCAGGTTATATCTAAAATGTGACTTTATCGCGCAAGAATTACTTGCACAATAAATAAAGAACAAATTTGCAAAATAGAGTATGCAACCAAGTTAATAAAACTACTAGATTAACAATCTCATTATTTTTTTTTTTTACCAACTATGTAAAAAGTAGTACACAATTTAATATTTAATTGTTCATAGTAAAATAAAATCATAAAAGACAATGTATCTAAATCCTCTTGCCTTATTAGAGTAATGACAGAAATGCCATGATAGTAAACAGATTATATAACTAATTGTAAGAAAAAGATAACTAGAAAAATTTATAATAATGTAATAATATACTACTTTAATTATATAATAATAATATTCATTAACTTTTAAAATCCTTCATTTTAAGTTATGTAAATTTATATGTATATATTTTTTCAACAGATTTCAAAATGGAATAGGTACACGATCCGGTTATATTTTTGTATAAGTATTTATGATATCTACCCCAATTTGGAAGACTTATTTTTAACCAAAATAATTACTCCTTATCATATAAATTTTCTGTGGAATAATCTTACAAATATATTATGCAGGCATCTAAAGCGACATTATGTGGGCAAATCTCAAACCCATTAGTAAGTTATCTGTCTTAGATAAAAACTATTATAATTACAGCAGTTTTATTATTCTGGAGATGCCTGTACAATTAGAAATGTTCAATTTATTGTACGTTCTCACGCCAACACTACATAATATGTAATTTAACAATTCCTTTTTTCTCACAACTCCATTATCATTAACCATATCTATAATCTATTACAAAACATTTATGCAAAGGAATTTTATATATAATAACTGTACAGACATTTTTGTTTCTCTATGTTTGTCCGAACATGTATTAGACCATTAAAACACTGATATAATTAAAGCTTTATATACTCTGAATATATCCCATATGCCGGGTCAACGTTTTCAATATATTTAATAAAAAATAAACCTATAATAATATATACTCGAATAAGCATACGGGTCAATTGTGTCGACGAAAAATTCAACGTTCATCATTAAACGATCTCATTATTTGCTTTGTACAAATACAAAATATGTATATCCAAGAATGTTGTTAAACCTTTTATATATTATTGTTTTATGAACAAACATAATATTTACATATCCTCTGTTAATTTACAATTTAAGCTACAGTCTTATTAATTAATATTCAACATGCTTATAACCTACAGAACAGTTAAAATATTGTAAACATGAAAATAAATCAAATTTTATTTAATAACTTTTTGATTCTCATTTATTGTTGAAAACTACTTTATAAACTAAAATTACTCAATTCCTAGAGGAAGCATCCCTCGACCTTTTTCCCAATTCCCTTCTATTCATTTTGAATATATAAATCTTATAGGAAAACAAAATTGAAGTAGTTAAATAAATGTAATGCTCATAAGGGTGAATATATATTTTGTATCACAATTGACCATTTTTCCCCCACAAAAAAAAACAATCCTTACAAAATTTCTATAGAAATAAACACGAAAATAAATACTTTTGATTAAAATAGGGATTTTCAAAATTCTTAACCTTTTATATTTTTTATAGATTATCAAAAAAGTACAAAATCATATTAGTAGGTAAACTTCTTAAATAATTTTTGTTTTTTAAATTGATTGAAAATTCATGATAATTGAGTGACCACTGAAATAAAATTCGCAAAATTACCAAATCGTTATCTCAATTTTAATACAAAACAGGATATGCACTAAATGTGTGTTTAAAGTTGTTTGGATATTTAAATTTCTATTAGTTAATCAAACTCAAATTTGATACATAGATTAACAATGTCTTGGCCTAACATAAAACATAGGGTATTTTTCGTACTAATGTATAAAGGCAAATCAACAAGTCACAGCCATTGTAAGATATGGAATACGTTTACTAATATGTCTATTCAGTAGGCATTCACAGCAATGATATTTAGCGCGACTATCAACTCAACACAATGCGAAACGTAATGTAAACTACGCGCGTGCATGCCGCCGCCGCATACACACGGATTAGGTTACAGAAACTGGGTACATGGATAGAATATGATCATTGCACTTGTTGTTACATAGTTTCAAGTCTGAAATTAGGACGCCTATATTTAATGTATTGTCCATTCGGTAGTTGCACTATATTAACTATTATAGATACGGACAATAGGAATTAATTGACATGGAAACCCGGAACAAAAATATTTCGTGATAAATATACAAAAAGATTTGTAAAATATAATAGGAATTTCCTTTTGTTCTAAAAATAAAAAAGAAATATATTTTTAAATTTGTGTTATTTACCATTATTAATTAAACCATATTTCTATACAAAAGTACTTCATCTGATAAATGCGGTTCTTGTCAAATATTTATTTTCAAAATTTAAAAAATCCAAGAATAGTGTTGTAATATAAATACATAGGTGTATATTTTTCTTAAATGAAGTTCTAATCATATACAATGTCTAGAATTTCATTTAGCTCAACTAAAATTGTACACTACAAACTAATATCCAATTTATAATAATAAACAATTTTAAATAATTAATTAAGAAAATAGAAATTATGGAATTAAAACTTTCTTTGTATAATTTTTGATTAAAAAAAATAATAAAAAAGAAAGAAATTCAGTTTTAATGTCTTTATTTTTAATGAATCTATAATTACTATATAATATTATAGTGATGCGAAACATCTGTGTGTTTAATTGTTGATAAAACAACACAAATTCACAGTGATGCAGCTTTTGTATGATTTTTTATTTCTCTGTAGTATAATTATAATCAATAGTTATTTTATTATCCAAATTAAATGCAAAATTACACACACTATTTAAATAATATGTACAACAGAATAAAGTATTAAGTAATTAATGTACAAATAGCTGTATACTTTTAATACCACATTTTTTTCGTTAAATTTACAACATAGGTACACAGTACATCAAATTGACATTGGCACGAGAGCCGAAGGCGGTGGAAACTTGTGAACCGGCCGACACACCTGCCCGGCGACCGATAAAACCATTCAACTTTTATTGCCATTATTGCTAGTGAAATGTATTTATGGGTGCCTACTAGAAATCAAATTACAGATGACTTTATAGATTATCAAAGACACTTAACAACTGAAGAAACATGTGTCCCAAAAACACAAACAGGTCATAATAATAAATTTGTTTTTAATTTGATGCTGTTCAAACAATTTTGTGGCCTATACAATATATGTGCATTTCTAATAATCCATAAAAGAATAGATTTAAAGGAAAATAAAATAATATTTATGAAATTTTAGAAATTATGAATTTTACAGAACAATATTTTTAAACGGAGGAAATTTCTGTATGGATAAGGATTTCTCCATATATTGCATGGGCTGCAATAAATTGCACTAAAACTCCTTTGATAAATAAAAAAAAAAAATAGGTCATTTCATTTTGTTAAACCTATTTTTAATCATTCTATTAGATAAAGTAAATTACTAAAAAAATATAAATTAGACTTGAAAATTATGAACCTACAACTAAATATGCAAACCCGGACCCTTGGGTG